CAAAGATGATTCTGGATAGGAGCGAAAGTAACAGGGCAGTTGTTATGGGGGACTTTAACTTTCCAAATATTGACTGGAAATGCTATAGTTCGAGTACTTTAGATGGGTCAGTTTTTGTCCAATGTGTGCAGGAGGGTTTCCTGACACAGTATGTAGATAGGCCAACAAGAGGCGAGGTCACATTGGATTTGGTACTGGGTAATGAACCAGGCCAGGTGTTAGATTTGGAGGTGGGTGAGCACTTTGGTGATAGTGACCATAATTTGGTTACGTTTACTTTAGCGATGGAAAGGGATAGGTATATACCGCAGGGCAAGAGTTATAGCTGGGGGAAAGGCAATTATGAGGCGATTAGGCAAGATTTAGGATGCATAGGGGATGGAGAAGGAAACTGCAGGGGCTGGGCACAATTGAAATGTGGAGCTTGTTCAAGGAACAGCTACTGCGTGTCCTTGATAAGTATGTACCTGTCAGGCAGGAAGTGGTCGAGTGAGGGAACCGTGGTTTACTAAAGAAGTTGAATCTCTTGTCAAGAGGAAGGAGGAGGCTTATGTAGAGATGAGGCGTGACGGCTCAGTTAGGGTGCTTGAGAGTTACAGTTAGCCAGGAAGGACCTAAAGAGAGAGCTAAGAAGAGCCAGGAGGGGACATGAGAAGTCTTTAGCAGGTAGGATCAAGGAAAACCCTAAAACTTTCTATAGGTGAGTCAGGAATAAAAGAATGACTAGAGTAAGATTAGGGCCAGTCAAGGACAGTAGTGGGAAGTTGTGCGTGGAGTCTGAAGACATAGGAGAGGCACTAAATGAATATTTTTCGTCAGTATTCACACAGGAAAAAGACAATGTGGTTGAGGAGAATACTGAGATACAGGCTATGAGACTAGACGGGATTGAGGTTCATAAGGAGGAGGTGTTAGCAATTCTGGAAGGTGTGAAAATAGATGAGTTCCCTGGGCCGGATGGGATTTATCCTAGGATTCTCTGGGAAGCTAGGGAGGAGATTGCAGAGCCTTTGCCTTTGATCTTTATGTCGTCATTGTCTACAGGAATAGTGCCAGAAGACTGGAGACTAGCAAATGTTGTCCCCTTGTTCAAGAAGGGGAGTAGAGACAACCCTGGTAATTATAGACCAGTGAGCCTTACTTCGGTTGTGGGTAAAGTGTTGGAAAGGATTATAAGAGATAGGATTTATAATCATTTAGAAAGGAATAATTTGCTTAGGGATAGTCAACACGGTTTTGTGAAGGGTAGGTCGTGCCTCACAAACCTTATTGAGTTCTTTGAGAAGGTGACCAAACAGGTGGATGAGGGTAAAGCAGTTGATGTGGTGTATATGGATTTCGGTAAAGCGTTTGATAAGGTTCCCCACGGTAGGCTATTGCAGAAAATACGGAGGCATGGGATTGAGGGTGATTTAGCGGTTTGGATCAGAAATTGGCTAGCTGTAAGAAGACAGAGGGTGGTGGTTGATGGGAAATGTTCATCCTGGAGTTCAGTTACTAGTGGTGTACCTCAAGGATCTGTTTTGGGGCCACTGCTGTTTGTCATTTTTATAAATGACCTGGATGAGGGCGTAGAAGGATGGGTTAGTAAATTTGCGGATGACACTAAAGTCGGTGGAGTTGTGGATAGTGCGGAAGGATGTTGCAGGTTACAGAGGGACATAGATAGGCTGCAGAGCTGGGCTAAGAGGTGGCAAATGGAGTTTAATGCGGAAAAGTGTGAGGTGATTCATTTTGGAAGGAGTAACAGGAATACAGAGTACTGGGCTAATGGTAAGATTCTTGGTCGTGTGGATGAGCAGAGAGGTCTCGATGTCTATGTGCATAGATCACTGAAAGTTGCCACCCAGGTTGATAGGGTTGTTAAGAAGGCATACGGTGTGTTAGGTTTTATTGGTAGAGGGTTTGAGTTTCGGAGCCTTGAGGTCATGTTGCAGCTGTACAAAACTCTGGTGCGGCTGCACTTGGAGTATTGCGTACAGTTCTGGTCGCTGCATTATAGGAAGGATGTGGAAGCATTGGAAAGGGTGCAGAGGAGATTTACCAGGATGTTGCCTGGTATGGAGGGAAGGTCTTATGAGGAAAGGCTGAGGGACTTGAGGCTGTTTTCGTTAGAGAGAAGAAGGTTAAGAGGTGACTTAATAGAGACATACAAGATGATCAGAGGATTAGATAGGGTGGACAGTGGGAGCCTTTTTCCTCGGATGGTGATGGCTAGCACGAGGGGACATAGCTTTAAATTGAGGGGTGATAGATATAGGACAGGTGTCAGAGGTAGGTTCTTTACTCAGAGAGTAGTAAGGGCGTGGAATGCCCTGCCTGCAACAGTAGTAGACTTGCCAACTTTAAGGGCACTTAAATGGTCATTGGATAAACATATGGATGATAATGGAATAGTGTAGGTTAGATGGGCTTCAGATTGGTTTCACAGGTCGGCGCAACATCGAGGGCCGAAGGGCCTGTACTGCGCTGTAATGTTCTATGTTCTATGTTCTATGTTCACCTTAAACCTATACCATCTGGTTTTGGACTCCCTATCCTAGACCTTTACTATTCACCCTATTCATGCCCTTCGTGATTTTATAAACTTCTATTAGGCCACCTCTCAGCGTCCAATGCTCCAAGGAAAATAGGCCCAGTCTATTCAGCCTCTCCCTATAGCTCAAACCGTCCATTCCTGGCAACATCCTTGTAAATCTTTTCTGAGCCCTTTCAAGTTTAACCACAATTTTTTCCTATAGCTGGGAGACCAGAATTGAACGTAGTATTCCAAAAGTGGCCTAACCAATATCCTGTACAGCCGCAGCATGAACTCCCAACTCGTATACCCAATGCACTCACCAATGGAGGCAAATGTACCAAATGCCTTCTTCACTATCCTACTTATCTGTGACTCCATTTCCAAGGAAGCATGAACCCGCGCTCCAAGGTGTCTTTGTTCAGTAACACTCCCCAGGATCTTACCATTAAGTATGTAAGTCCTGCCCTGATTTGCCATCTTAAAATGTAGCACTTCACATTTATCTGGATTAAACTCCATCTGCCATTCCTCAACCCGTCAATCCATCTGATCAAGGTTTCGTTGTACTCTGAGCCAACCTGAGATGAGGAGAAATTTCTTCATCAGAGAGTGGTGAACCTGTTGAATTCACTATCACAGAAAGTATTCAAGGTCAAAATATTGTATGGTTTGAAGAAAGGGTTGGATATAGCACCTGGGATTAAAGTGATCAATGCATATGGGCAAGAACATACTATTGAGTTGGATGATCAGCCATGATCATAATGGCTGAATGGCCTACTCCTGCTTTCCTTTATTTCCATGTGTGGAATCATTCCTAGAATCCTTACAATGTGGAAACAGGCCCTTCAGCCCAACAAGTCCACACCGACCCTCAGAGCATCCCACCCAGACCCCTCCCTCATAACCCACCTAATCTACACATCCCTGAACACTATGGGCAATTTAACATGGCCAATCCACCTCGCCTGCACAACTTTGGACTGTGGGAGGAAACCGGAACACCCGGAGGAAACCCACGCAGACACAAGGAGAATGTGCAAACTCCACACAGACAGTCGCCCGAGGGTGGAATTGAACACGGGCCCCTGGCGCTGTGAGGCAGCAGTGCTAACCACTGAGCCAGCCTGCTGCCCTACAAAGGTGGCTCCTTCAACAAAGCCATAAACTTCCTTAAACACCCTCAGTTGGAAAATAGAGATGGGAATTATTTGCTTTGCAATGAGGCTAAGATCCCACAAACGTATAAAAAATGTTTGCAGCAGAAAGAATATCCTTATTATGCATCATAACAATTGAAACCCTAAGGCAAAAGGCAGACTATTATTTAAGTGGAGAAAGACTCCAAAAAAGTGCAGCGCAGAGTGACCTGGGTGTTTTTGTGCAGGAAAGACACAAAGCTAGCGTGCAGGTGCAGGAAAGAGCTAAGAAGGCAAATAGAATTTTGATCTTTATTGCTCAGGGTTTGAAGTTTAAAAATAGGGAAACCTTCATGCAAATGTACAGAGTATTGGTGAGGCCACAACTGGGCAATAGTTTGGTCCCCATATTTTAAAAAATGAGTATACTGGCATTGGAGGCTGTTCAAAAGAGATTCACTGTGCTGGTTGATGGGCCAAATGGGCTGACTTATCAAGAACAGCTAAACAGATTAGGCCTTTATTCATTAGAGTTTAGAAGAATGAGGGATGATCCTATTGAAGCATACAAGATTCTGAGGGGGCTTGACAGGGTACGTGTTGAGAACACATTATGGCTAATGGGGAATCTCACACTAGGGGACATGGTTACAGAATAAGGCAACACTCGTTTAAAACTGAGATGTGAAGGAATTTATTCACTCAGATGGTGGTGAATGTTTGGAATTTTCTACCCACAGAATTGATCACTGAAAGTATTTAAGGAGAAGGTAGATAGATTTTTAAAGGAGTTGGACGCTACTCTGCCCTGACACAAAAGAGGAATTGAGACCTTAGGCAGAGCAACTATGATCGTGTTGAATGGTGGGGCAGGCTTGAGGAGCTGAATGGCATAATCCTGCTCCTATTTCTTATGTTCTTCAGTTCTTATGCTCTGTGCATCAAAGCTATGAACTGATGATTGATGAAGTTTTAAACTAAATTGGCAGGAGAATGTGTTCCAGCATATTATGAAATAGGTGAGCAAAATAAGACTTGCCATTGAAACGTTATTGAAAATTGAGAACAACTTTCATGATTTCAGCTTTTCAAGTTGACAGGCTGTAACTTTTAGTGTGCTGCAACTATCAGTGCTGGAGTCTCCACTATTTACAATCCACATTAATAAAATATGAAAAGGCTTAGAGTAATTTATCCAAGTTTGTTGATAAAAAGCTAATTGAGAATAGAAGATTGCGACGAAGACACAGATGCAGAGACATAGACTGGTTGACTGAGTGAACAGCTAGGTGGCAGGTGGAGGATAATGTGGAGAAATGTCATATTTTTGTAATTTGCAGGTGCCGGTCTTGAGCTGGGGTGGACAAGGTCAGAAGTCACACGACACCAGGTATAGTCCAACAGGTTTATTTGGAATTACAAGCTTTTGGAGCACTTCCCCTTTGTCAGGAGAAGTGAGGAAAAGCATACAGGCACAGCACTTATAGACAGAGAGATCAATGGGCAGAGAGATCAATAGATCACACAAATGGTGTGAGTGGAGTATCGAATAATAAGTCTCTGCAAGTGATCAAAAGTGTCAAATATGTGAGTAAGATGTCAACAGCTGAATAATGAGTGATGGGGATGACCCATAATCCAATTAATTGTGGCAGAGTGATAATTACAAAAAATTAAAATTGAGGTGGTGCTGGAGACAAACCAAATGACTGGAATAACATGATAGGTATAAGAGTCGAATGCTGAGGATCTAACCAAAGTAACAAGTAATCTAAAATTATACAAATGAATTAAGGTAGAGAGATCATAACAATTCATCAAGGTGATGGTGTTAAAACAGGACAGTAAGGAAAATTTTACAGATACAGAACAGTGGGGTCACATGTAGCGCAACATGAACAGTTGAGGCCGTCTTCATGGGTACGGAACTTGGTTTTCAGTCTCTGCTCAGCGATTCTGCGTTGTTGTATATCTCAAAGGCTGCCTTGGAGAACGCTTGCCCGAAGATCAGAGCTGAATGCCCTTGACTGCTGAAGTGTTCCCCGACTGGGAGGGAACATTCCTGTCTGGTGATTGTTGTGCTGTGTCCATTCATCCGTTGCTGTAGCATCTGCATGGTCTCGCCAATATACCGTGCCTTGGGGCATCCTTGCCCGCAGAGTTTGAAGTATACAACATTGGCTGAGTCACATGAGTATCTGCCACGTACGTGGTGCATGGTGTCAAGTTTCTGCAGAGATTCAAGAAAGCAGAGAAGATCCCGAAAGGACTACAGATCATGAACCCACTCAAGTCGACCTACAACACAGACTACGCTGAGAGGTTCTGCCATCACAACTCTTGAAACTCCTCAATCACCTCGTACACCAGCTCAACATTAGCTTGAAATTGAGATAGAGTCCATATTCTCAGCTTGTGCTCAGGATATAGTGGACCAGCAGTGAGACACTGCCAAGCAGAACTACAGCACCTACATGCACACTAAGAACAGGAAACTGGAGAATCTTGGCATCACCACCAGCAGTAACCAAACCTCCCCCGGTACCACAGTTGAAACTGGTACCGCCGTAGGGAAATCCATCGTCAACTTGTCTGACCACACCCTTCAATCAGTCGAAATCAAAAAGTTAAGTATTTACTTCCTTGTCTTTCTAGATGGTAGAGGTCACAGATTTTGTAGATGCTGTCAAAGAGTGGTGAATTGCAGGAACAGCAAGTATGTTTCCAGGTCAGGATGATGAGCAACTTGGAGGGAAATGGTGTTCTCTTGAATTTGATGCTCTTGTCTTTCCAGGTGGTAGTGGTTGTGGGTTTGGAAACTGATGTCTAAGGACTCTTGGTGAATTTCTGCAGTGCGTCTTACAGATAATGCACACTGCTAGTACTCTGCGTTGGTGGTGGAGGGAGTAAACGTTTGTGGATGTGGTACCAAGTACGCGGACTGTTTTATCCTGAGTGGTGTCAAGCTTCTTGCGTGTTATTGGAGCTGCCACTAATCCAGACAAATGAGGAATATTCTATCACATTCCTGTAGATGTGGACAGGTTTTGGAGACATGGGAGGGGTGTTACTGCAAAATTACAAACATCTGACCTGTTCTTGTATTTAGATGCCTAATCCAGTTCAGTTTCTGCTCCATGGTAGCCCTCAGGATGTTGATAGTCAGGGACTGAGTGATGGTAATACAACTAAATGACAAGATGGTTATATTATCCCTTGTTGGAAATGTTCATTGCCCGGCATAAATGCGACTTGTGACTTATCAGCTCAAGATTGAATGAACGTTTTTCAGGTCTTACTCATATGGATAATGAATGTTATAGCAGTTGAGGAGTCATGAGTAATACTGAACATTGTGCAATAATTTGTGACTACCCCCAATTCTGACCATATGTTGGAGTAATTGACGGAGGAGCTGAACTTCAACTAGGACATCTGTGGCACAGTGCCTCTGAGCCAGAAGATCCAGTTTCAGGTCCCATCTGCACCAGAAATGTGTCATAACAAGTGCAAACAAAAATCTGCCCTGACGAAATCCTACAGTGATGTATTGAGAATCAAGTGATGGACGTCAACTGCAAACCTTCTGCTTTGTGCTAAGTATGACTCCAAGCAATTTTCCACCTAATTCCCAATGACTTCAGTTTTGCTGCGGCTCCTTTATGCCAGACTCAAATGCAGATTGAGGTCAAGAGCAGTCACTATTGTCTCAACTCTTGATCTCAATTCCTTTGTCTATATGTGGACCATGTCTGTAAGAAGGTCAGTACCTGAGTAACACAGGAAGATGCCAAATTGAATGTGCCATTGAGCAACTTATTGCTTTATAAGTGCAGCTTAATAGCACTATTGTTGCAACATTCCAACATTTTGCTGATGATCAAGGGTAGGCTGATTGTGCAGCAATTGCCCAGATGGGATTTGTTTGATTTCTTTTTATCATGGACAGCACGGGATGTTGGATGGGTCAGTGAATGGGTTGGGAGGACGATAACCCAAAGGTGAGGCCAGATTGTGGGTCGATCAAGGAAGTTACTGTCTGGTTTGGCAGCGATCATTGTCTGTTTGTAGACCCCACTGTTCTTTCAGGTTCAAGGTTGAAATAGCTACACAGAGGCTGGTATCCTGTTACCAAGTCAACCTTTTTACATGTACACGGTACGCTGGCTGTAGCCAGCCCAGCTCAGGAGTCAGTCCTTAACAGAGGAGATTTTAATCTCCTAGTTATATTGGTCAGCCAATGATTTTCTGATTGGCCCAGGTGAACAACCCCAATCAAGAACATTGTAGTTAACAAGGTCCGCCTGGTCCCAATCACTATATCCCTCCCCTGCCATGTCCAGGGATATAGGCCTGGTCTTTCTCTTGTAGTTTCTCTTGCAATGTTTTCGCCCCAGGTCTGGTTCCTGTCTCTCGGACACAGATGGTGTGTACTGGTCTGTGGCCCGTCTCTTGCATTGGAACATCTCGGAAGAGTTTCTTCCTCTTCTTCCCGCAGCAATGGTATCGAAGCTGCATCCAATTTGGACTCTGAGCTTTCCTTGACACTAGACGGAAGGGTAGAACCCGTGGTTTCTGCCAGGCCTTCTGGCTGTTCTGAGGGGCCAGGTGTGTTTTGCTCCTGCCCTGTTTGTGAGGTAACAGCTTTCAGATGATCCACATGTTTGTTGAGGACTGTATCACCGAGCCGAATGTCGTAAGTCATGGGACTGGACCTCACGTCACCCTCGCCTTGTACCTGTAAACGGCCATTTCCATTGTTCCAGCACCAAACTTCACCCCCTGAATTAAATTGTCTCTCTCGCTTAGAGGTGGCATTTGGCCAGCACTGGCATTCCTGCTGCCATTTCACCCTCACCCCCAGGTCTGGGAATATCAGGTTTAACCTGGTGCGGAATCTTCTCCCCATCAGCAACACTGCCGGAGCTGTTCCTGTTGTTGCATGTGGGGTGGTCCTATCATCAAAGGGGAACCAGGACAGTTTGGTATCAATTGACGCTGTAGGCTGCTTCTTTAAGCCAGCGTTCCATGTTTGGACTGCTCTGTCTGCTAGACCATTGGACAACGGATGGTATGGAGCTATCCTTATGTGCCGAGTGCCATTGGACTTTAGGAAATATTCGAATTCCCTGCTGGTAAAATGACTTTCCATTATCCGTGACCAATACTTCCAGGAATCCATGTATTGTGAATGATACTTGCAGCTTCTCAGTCGTTGTCCCTGAGTTTGCTGAACGAACTTTATGCACATCCAACCCCTCTGAATGGACGTCCACAATGACCAGGAACACTGAGCCCATGAAAGGTCCGGCATGGTCGACATGAAACTGAATCCAGGGTTTACCCGGCCATTCCCATGAACGTGGGGGGGCTGCTAGTAGCAATTTCTGTCCTTGTTGGCATTCGGGCCACTGCCCCACCAATGCAGCTATGTCGGCATCCAACCCCGGCCACCAGACATAGCTTCTTGCCACCATCTTCATCTTGGAAACCCCTGGATGACCCTGGTGGAGTTTGGTCAGTATCTGGTGGCAACCTTTTCTGGGAACAATCCCCCTTGCTCCCCTCAGTAATATGCCGTCCTGTACAGGGATCTGGTCTCGCCAGGTCCAAAAGGGTTTCAATCCAGGTTGTGATGGCCCTTTTACTTCCCCCGTTATCACCAGCTGTTTCAGTTTCACTGGGACAGGATTTTTTTGTGTCCACAGTTGGATATTGTCTGCAGTGACTGGAAAAGTGTCCAGACAGTTTAAAACCAAACTGGACTCTTCCAGGGGAGGCACCTCCAGTGGAGTATCTGCCGGTGAGAGGCAGCTTAAGGCATCCACATTAGCCACTTGGCTTCCTGGACAGTGTTCTAACTTGTACGCGCTAAGAATAAGGACCCAATGCTGGATTCTACCGGAAGCTGTGGGCGGCACTGCCTTGCCTTCCTTCAGTAGCCCTAACAGGGGTGTGTGTTCTTTTACTATGACAATTTCTTGTTCATAAAGGTACCGGTGGAACATCCTCACCTAAAAGATGACTGCTAAACCTTCCTTTTCTACCTGGGCATAACTTGCGTTTGGCATCAGCCATACACTATCGGGCATTCCTGTTCGTTGGGTCACCGGTGAGCCAACCCCACTACCCCGATACCATACAGGGAGGCATGACATGTCAGCACCAGATCTCACTTCGGATCATAATGTGCCAACACCTTCGATGACAATAGCTGCGTTTCCACTTCCCGAAAGGCTGCTTCTTGGCTGCGTGACCATTTCCAAGGCTGACCCTTTTTCAACAGCAGGTATAAGGGTGCCAAGATGGACGCTGGGTGATGTATGAAGTTACAGTAATAATTCACTAACCCAAGGAAAAACCTAAGCTCTTGTACAGATGTGGGAGCCG